CAGACCCATGCCCCACTGCCCCCAGCACAGGCCCTGCTGCAGGGTGGTCACTAGCCCCACGAGCCCCCAGCCCCCTGTGCTTTGTGCCCCTGGGCTCCATGTCCAGGCACAGAGTCAGAAGGCCAGATCTCCCATCCTCCCCAGGACAACACAGCCCTGCTCCCGGAGGCGTGTAAGTGACAGGGTTGAGGGAGGTAAGGACAGAACTCATGGCCAGCAGGGCAGTGGGAAGACAGCAAAAAACCCCCAAAACCAACAATGCAGAACGGACAAGAGGCCCAAGAATATCCCAGAGGTAATGGAGATGCTAAGAACGGGGGTGAGAGAGGAAAGGGGAGTCAGGGACTGGCTGGCCACAGGTACTGGCAAGGCATGGGAGTGGGGAACAAGGGGTAGGGGGAGCGGCGCTGGCCCCAGACAGCAGAGAGGGGTTCTGGGATCTCAGCAGAAACCCACATGCTCAGCCCTCTGGGGCGAGGCAGGGTCCCGTCCCTCCTACTCAGGTGATCACTTTGATCCCAAAGTATTTGCGCAGCTGTTCCAGGAAGACAAAGGTGAGGACAGTGTGAGGAACCAGCCGGATGGCAGCAGGAACGAAGCCCTGGAAGGGGACAGTGAGGACGAGGAGAGTCAGCATGTGCCTGGCCCCGAGCTTCCCCATCAGGGCCAAGGGTGCCCAGCAGCCTGACCCACGGGAAGTGGCATGAGCTTGCAAGCACAGGGGAGCAGCTGGCTGGGCAGGCAGCACGAGCTCCAAGGAGCTGGGTCCTTGGTGTCAGGCAGAGACTGCCACAGCGGTGAGGGCAGCATCGCACCCATCGCTATGCACACAGATCTCAGCACCATGCATCAACCCCTCTGCCCCCAAACACATCAGTGCCAGCATCACCACTATGTAGGCAGAACCTCAGTAGAAGCCTGGGTCAGATCCCACAGCCCCCGGTTCAGAAGGGGGTTGGATGCTGCCTGGGGAAGACGAGCAGACAGGGTGCAACAGGGAAAATGCCTGACTGACAGCATCTGGAAGAGATCTTGGGCGTGAACCCCTTTTCAGGGGCCCTCCCAGGAGCGAAACTGAACACATGGGTGACTGCACCAAGCCCAGGCATGTAGGGCCCAAGAGCTGACCAGTGTCTGCTGGTCAGTAACATCCAACGGGTGCTGGAGCACCACTGCCCGTACCTGCATTCCTGTTTGGAAACCCAATGGGTGGAACAGGGCAGCTGCTGCGGTGCCCCATCCCAGGCTGCAAGCCCAGAGGAGGCCAAGGCTCGCAATGCTCTGGGGGCAAGCTGGGGAGCGGCGGATGAAGGCCTGACGCAGGAAGCAGTTGGGCTGCTGGCACCAGAGCCTGGAAGGCTCCTGCCCCGGAACTGTTCTGGACCTTGACCTCTGCTTCCAGCCTGGCCCAGTCTCCCCGCACCCCACCCTACCAGCCCATCCCACGCATCCCCAGCTAGGTACCTTGTAGAAGGCAAGGGGGCCGAGCTTGGCAGTTTCCACGGCACAGTGGGTAACACCCTGGAGTGAGAGGGAGAGAGATGAGGAGCTGCTGGGAGGCAGAGGCCGGTGCGCAAAGGGGACAGGAGGGGCTACTCACCCGGTACTCCCCCTGGGAGTTCATGAGGCGGGTCTTGAGCACGTCCAGGGGCTGGCACAGGAATGTGGCGCATCCGCCCTGCGGAGAGTCAGCAACTGGCTCACGGACAAGACTCGGGTGCCAATGACTGCCATGGTCACTGGAGAGACCCGGAGCCCTGCCTGGGCCCAAGCCCATGCTGGGAGCCCCATAGGAGACTCTGTGCCTGGCCCTGCTTCATCAGCGTCCTCAAAGGCAGGTCTCGCAGCCCCAGCTTGGGGTCCTGAGCCAGTGTGCAGGCAAACCCAGTCCCAGTCCCAGTCCACCGTCCACCTCCCCCCGGCACCCAGCCCTGCTCACAGCGATGAAGCTGGCCAGGAAGTGAGTGAAGATGTTGTCTGACAGCAACCCAGTCGTGAGAACCAGCTGCTTGGCCTGGTCATAACAGGAGAGCTGCAGAGACACGG